GCATTCTTATCAAATGTGAACTATATGACTGATGGATGAGTGTTTCTAAATGCACGTTCTCAATGTTTCCTCAGCTGAGAAAGCCAATAGTGGAGAAGATCCGCAGAGAACGTATCAACGGCAGCATTGAGAAGCTCAAGTCTCTTCTGGGTCAAGAGTTCCTAAAGCAACAGCCCGACTCCAGACAGGAGAAAGCTGATATCCTGGAGATGACGCTTGATTTCTTGAGACGCTCCCAGAATCCCTCAGGCTGCTCGACTGCAGCTCATGACGGACACTCCAGATGTGTGCAGGAGGCCGTCAACTTCCTGTCTCAGTGTCCAGTGCAGACTCAGTCCCACAGAAGACTTCTGAAGCACTTCCTGCACATGCAGCCGTCCACAGAGAACAACACTCACCAGCTCCATTCACCAGACGCAAAGAGCAAAGAGAAAACTCTGGTGCTCTGGAGACCCTGGTAGAAGCCATTCTTATGTTTAAAAAAAAAACAAAAAAAAAACTACCACAATTAACTCTGTTATTAGAGAAAATGTTATTCTATGTCAACCTCTTTAACGAGAGGATAATTGCTTGTATTCTTATGTCTAGAATTCACTGTATTTTTGCCACTGGCTAAGCTAATTGAATCTGCTATGTTAGCAACTATATATCTCACACTGAGGTGCAATATTTGCATTCTATGAATGTTCCATGTTTCTGTATAGTTCTAATTGATCTTGTGAGTTATATTAACTGCTTGTTCTTTTTTTTGAATATTGTATTGTTGGTGTTGTAGATTTTATATAATCAACTATAACTGACAAATTCTTTTTTAAAGATTATTTAGGTGATTGTGTTTTAAACAAGAGTCAAACAATCAAGCACAGTATAGTAAAAACACTATACTTTAAAAGTACATGAAGATGCTGGACATAATCTAAAATATGTTCTATAAAAACAATAAAAAAAATGTTTACATCAAATGTTCTTTGGCAATGTGTCCATTCTTTAAAACAAAATTGATAACTTTATTTCATGCCCCTATTATGCACCTCACATAAGCTATTAATAACAGTGAATTATCCAAGCCCTTAACCAAACCCTATCTCACTATATCGTAAGAACATATTACATATTATTACTGAGTAATGTGTGCAATATTAATACACTGTAACAAGGGTAGCTTGAAATAAAAAAATAAAAACATCAGATACTTTTACAACTACTTTTAATGCATTCCAATATCTTTTTAATTGCATCAGTTGGTTAGTTTCAATTGTTCATTTGATAATATAGAAACATAAACAAGCACTTTGCTTGGTTGCTTTGTTATAGAGCCAGACCGATATATCGGCAGACCGATATTATCGGCCGATATTAGGTATTTTCCAAACTATCTGTATCGTTCAGTTATAATGGCCAATAAATGAATATTACGAAAATAAAATAAAAACGGACGAAACACTCTTGAACCATGTCATGAGTGTTGGAGTTGTATAGTTTGTCCACCAGAGGGCACTCTACACGGTTCATGTTGGCAACACTCGTTGAGTTGGTCACGATACATACATTGCTTGAATAACAATTAAAATAACATCCCCATCGTTCTCTTAACTCAAATAAGCATGACAAAAAAAAAAATAAATAAATAAAATATTGGCCGATATATCGGAATATCGGATTTTAAAACCCAAAAATATTTGTATCGGTAACGGGCTTCAAAATACTTTATCGTTCGGGCTATACTTTGTTATCTACTCAAGCAACTATTATCTCCTCTTCCTAACCTTAAAATCAATAGGCAGTATCCCAAGTCACCAAAAATTGATGTTCAACTTAGACCGAAAATTTGCCTCAATTTTTCACAAATCCAAACTGGTACATTTCAAAGTTAAACTGGACCGATAGTTTTGAATATTTTTTGAAGAAGCATTACACCTCAGATGCTTCTCACTGAACAAGGGGAGTAGACAATTAAATAGACTTTTAAGGTGTACAAATTTTGGTTCACTTGCAAAAAGAGCAGTGTGAAAGCGAACCGTACCAAAAAAAATAATAATAATGATCATTTATTTGGTCCGGACCAAAGCAAGTGAACTATCGGAACTATACCTGGTGTGAATACACCCTAAATGACATCAGTGATTGGAGCATATTGACTGCCTCAATGCTAAGCTAAAACAAAATATTTACAAAATATAGTTTTTGTGTTTTCTATAGGTAAAAAATATATGCTTATTATGTATGCATTTAAATAAATAAATAACCTGAAAAGATTTAGTAAGTTAGTACGAATTTCTAGGTTTGAATTGGTTTGAAAATTGTTGCTGAATCCTGGGAAAATCCCCAAAGTCCAGATGGTCTTTCTACGTCTTAGGTCCCCCCTCTAATAAAGAGAGTTCAAACACCGTAACTAATGTTATGTGTAACAAGACACACTTCTTTTGTTCCCTTTACTGTGGGCAGTCAATGAACAGACTGAGGGAAAGGAAGACAGGCCTCTCACACACAACTCATGGGAACCTCAGTGAAAACCCATGCCTTATGTCTTCAGGCCTGCTGCTACAGGTGGTTTAAAACAGAGGAATCATCATATCAAAAGCACTTAATATCCAACTCAACTTAAACATAGTTATACATCTGATTTAGTAGAGAATACTTGAGAAAAAGTATTTTTAAAATTAAATTAGGGTAAAAATGTCTGAAAAATGTCATAATGCTGTGTGTATATTAAGGCTTTTTTGCTCAACAAGTATAATTTCCCAAGTTTGTTTGTGACACTAAAAGACTGACTGTTTGTTTTACAACAAAGAAGCAATTAACATTTTCAATGGAGCCATAGTGAATTGTTTGTACTCCTCAGATTAGAGCACCCAGGGTAGTGGGAATCAAACGCAAACTCACAGTATTTCAACACAGGCTATATGGTATAAAATATAAAATACAAGCAAACACAATAACACAGAACACACGCACAATATAGCATAAACACTAGTCTTTGCTCTCCACCACAATAAAAATAGAGGCCACCACCAGGGTTATTATTGTTGACTAAAAAAAATAAAAAATAAAAACACTAAATCAATAATAAAACAACTTTTTTGTCCATTTAGATAATACAATACAAAAAACACTTAGGAAACTTTTTTTTTTATTTCAGCTAGTCACCAATAGGCAACATTTCTTGTTTTCGTTTTGCCTAGTTTAACTAGGCCTATAGGCCTAGGTCTACTAAAATAACGAATAAATAAAAATGAATAAAAACTAAACAGACAATAAAAAACTAATTATAACAAACACACTCTGAAGAAACTGTGAATGCTGTTAAAATATCCTGTCAAATGCGAAGTTTGTGTGAATTGCTTATGTTTTTCTGAGGGACTTCCAAGCATGTTTATTCAAATTGAATTATATTCACCTGCTCCTTTTCATTTCTCATTCTCACTTCGTTATCACAATAAAACACTTTACTTACGCGTTGTGTCTTTCCCACAGTTGTGTGACAATGGCAGGAGTCTCTGTCATGACCCTTTTGGCGTCTGCTGGTCGTGTGATCGGCGCAGTTAAGAAGCAGCAACAGCAGGAACTGCACAATGAACCTCACTGATCTCAGCACGAGCTCCTGTCGCGTGCTGGCCATGAAGTGAAGACAAGCAAAAAAATAAATAAATAAAAATACTTTTAATCACTTTACAAAATGAACTAACACTATTTTGATTCACACAAATAGCAGGTGAGGACTGAGACTGTTTTTTAAAAAAAAGGATATTATTCAGATTTTCTCGCGCGTGCCTTCACAGCGGCATGAGGACTTCCGTAATTTGGCACGTGGACGTGACTGTTCTGTCACCTAACTGGTGAAACTGACAGTCATGTTAACAGTTATCAAAGGAAAATTCATGGGAACGGACTCAAATCTGTGTTTCCAGCTGTGTTTCTTGTACCTTTGCTTTGATGTTATGTTGCAGACAGTTTTAACCACGTGCCATTGTCGCAAGTAGGTGTTGGTCACGCTCACCCTATGCCATCATCAACTTTTGAGAAACGCTGCCCTGGAAATGTTGCACAAGATAGCCTATCTTACAAATATAATAGTCTATAATATAATGAATGCACTTTAACATATTTAGGTTACAAAAATAATTCTCAAATAATTTTATCAAGATTTCTTTGTTTTACATTTCTTTGTTTTTCAACACTGGTCAATTTTTGCATTGATTACACAAAGTATGAATGGGCTCTATGCACGGCGGTATTTCCGGTGTCTAAGGATGCTGGATTAGCCTACTTCATGCTATACCGAGAATTTATATTGGTTTTTATACTCTATGGCTGTAGCTACTAAACGTTAGTCACAAAACCAGACAAAACAGTCCCCCCTCATTTTGTTAATGCTTCTTTGTTTATTATATTAAATAGGCTATACATAACTATATAAAATTACATCTAAACGTATTAAAGTTTCGTATCCTCCGCTCTCCCCAACCGGAAACTGAAGAGCAGCCTTATGTCAAATGCGGAACTTATGCGCGTGCATATAGCATATTAGATGCACAAACATATCAAATAAGTGTTGTAAGGGTTCACTTTATATTAAAATGTGTGCATACTGCATAGATATTCTTTTCATGATATTCAAGTTTCTGACTTTCCCTTTGCAATATATTTTGGTTACACAAACCTATAAATTAGATGCATGCACAAGCATCAGTCATGGTTCATCTGATATATTTTGCTTTTGCGAAAGCAAAGTGCATTTTAAAACCTACATTCATACATTTTTTTTATTCTATTTTTTCTAATTGGCTGAAGGGCCAAATTCCTTCACTGAGCCTTCAAGAATGGCGCCTCTCTGATACCTTGGGAAACATTCCTCCAGTGGAAGTGAGCAGGCATTTAACCGTAAAATTAATGTCCTCTATTGTTGTGATGAGCCGGCCCTCTGGTCTCAGAGTGTGGGAACAGAAACACAGCCCAGGCCACATGGCTTTGTGATGGTAATGCTGCTGTATAAATACAAGGGGTTCTCCTCAAAGAGGCTCACGAATCGTTTTGCCACAGAAGAAAAGCAAGCTGTTTCAGCACGGACATGGCACCACATTCCGCTACACACTCCTCTTTTGACCATCTTTGCTTCAGTGATAAGGACAAAAAGGTATGTTCAATTTAAATGCAGTTCTTCTTCAAAAGTGAATCTGAATACAATTTGAATCTGTGTGCACTGCACAGTAGTTTGAAAAAATGCTCTAACAAGTGTTTCCGTTCGCCCTCAGCCGAGGAAGCCAATTGTTGAAAAGATGCGCAGAGACCGCATCAACAGCAGCATCGACCAGCTCAAAAATCTCCTGGAGAAGGAGTTCCACAGCCATGACCCCAGCACCAAACTGGAGAAGGCCGACATCCTGGAAATGACGGTCAGCTTTCTCAAACAGCAGCTTCCTCAGAGGGACTATGATGAAGGCTACTCTCACTGCTGGAGGGAGTCTGTCCACTTCCTCACTCTTCATTCTCCAGCACCTGTGGAGCTCCAGCACCTCCACAGCGCCCAGCGAGCGAGCTCCGCTCCAGCAACACCCTCGTCCAAACTGCAGCAGCCGGACAGCAGGAGAGGTGGCGTCTGGAGACCCTGGTAGACATGCTGTGAACTGTAAACCCTGAGGGACAGCAATGTTAACGTCTCTCATCAAAGTAGGAGATATGCATTTCCAAAGTGAACGTTTGTGTTGTCATCATATTGATTGGCAAAAACTTTAGATAAACATGTGTTTGTCAGTGGAAGGAGGTGGATTATTTATGTACAGCTTTTTTCTGTATTATAGCTCTTAGTGTGATTTTTTTTTTTTTTTACCACATTACTTGTTTTGTTGTTGTATGCATAATTCATTGAGGTTGACTCCAGTGGAGTTTTATGTATCAGACCTTTGAACTGATTTTGTATGTTTTTTCAGAGTATATTTTTGTCTGCACTGAGATTTCTGTATTGTTGTTTAGGTAAGGCATGCATGTTGTACCTTTGATAAAGGATCCTGTTCGTTGTCTTGACCAATTTTATTATTATTATTCTTAGCAAATGAGCTCTTACATCAAATATTTTCTGTCAATAAAATTCTACATTTTCAACTAATGGTTTTGGGAGAAGATTGAATCAATGTTTGTATGCTGCATGATGTGATCTGGTCAAATTCAGATTGTATTTAGATCCTGTTTGTTTTTTGCTTAAGCAATTGGAACAATATGTTAAATCATTTGCTTAAATATCATCTACTATGAAAAGACAGACTTGAGACTATAAATTAAGATAATGTTAACCGATTAGGGATTACAAAAAAGTCACTTGTAACAATTGGCTGATCTCTCAACTTGTGTGAACCATTGATTTTCTGTAAATGAATGTAGGCTAGTTCTGTCTAATAAGGTGTTTCGGAATTATATATAATATAAAAATATCACAAACTTTAAAACTTACACAATTTACAAAGTTCGATTGGAGAGCCAATTTTACCAGATGTGTATGTGTGTGTGAGGCATACAGAAATTATTTGTATTATTTTGCTGGAATAGTCATATTTCATAGGCTATGACATGCATTAATTATGCGTTATGCATATGCATTATTTTAAAATCTCGAATAACTCTAGACTGTCTATATTAGGTTTCTTTACCAGCAGCACAGATGGGTAATGTCAAGTAAGAACAATTGCACAGCCTCCCTCTACAGGCACACGTCTATTGTTGTCCCCTCCTGAGAATATCACTCTCACAATGGAAAAGTAGTGTGGGAAACACTTCCCTGCTCCCAACTCACACGTTCCTGTGTCAATGGAGATGACCTCCCTAACAACCACAAGCCTTTCATAGAGGACTATCTTTTCCCAGGGGCTCATGCAAGTGTGTGCGTGTGTCTGAACATTAGTGAAAAGTTAGGAGAGGTACAGAAGAGTTTAAAAGTCTACATGAGTAATCTGGGATTTAGAATTTAATTTAAACCTGGTAATAAAACTCAATTTTTAGGATTTTGAAAAATGTAAATAAAAGACACATTGCGACAAAAAAAGGTAAAAATATTTCTGATTCTAAACTATTTCTAAGTCAATATTCAAAGTAAAATTGTTTGTGACTCTTTAGGGGTCTGATCTTTCTTCCATAAGCCTATAAAGCTCAAGATGCTCTTTGGATCATTTCAAATCATGCCGGATAACATGATCATCAGATTTTACACAAAATTTTAGAGTATATATATATTCAGGATAACAAGAGGGCAAACAGGGGACAGTTGAAGGTGATTAATTGACAAGCAAACAAGCAAGGCAGCAATGAAAACGGGAACAAATCACAGGGGTGCAGAAAATAAACTTCAAAATAAAAGTCCTATAACACAAAATTGGGGACCAAGACAGAAATTTAATAAATACATTGTTAAAATAATCAAAGAACAAAATAAAAATATACAATTCATGTTCTTTTTATGGAATATTGCTCTATTATAAATTATTTATCCATGCACATCATTGTGCCCTCATAATCTTTAATCAAAATAACTTCCCCTACCTCTTGCAGTGGCATCATCTCTTCTCTTTTCTAATGATGTGAGGGTGGGACATAATATTGTCACTCTCATGAGATCACAGCAATAGCAAACCTTAACAATCCAACGATCCAATCAATTCCTGATGGACAAAATCAAGTCTCACCCTACACTTTTTCTTGTTCATGAAGGTGTTTTATTCAGATACGTAAAAGACTATCGCAACTTTCATTACATGCTGACTTTAATCATATTTAATAGAACTGAGCTAACATGAATGAACAATAAACAGTTGCATTTTTATAAACTAACGTCAACAAATATTAATAAATACTCCAGCAAAAGTATTGATCATTGTTAGTTAATGAATTAACTAATATTAACTGATGGGACCTTATTGTAAAGGGTTCCCATATAGTATTTATAATATATTTTTGACTAACTTTGGGCAATACGATTTACTAAAGACAAACAGGACAAGTGACAACATCTGTCCTCGTATCTGCAAAATTAGCTGCCCAATTAAATCTTTTCTCAGAGTTGTTTGGAGTGAAACTGGGCACCCATGAGAGCGGAGCACATGACAGATGTTCACACCGGTTGCTCTGCCCTTTTGGTAGCCAACACAATTAGGCTTTCTCTGACGATCTGCCCACTGGCTACGCATATGCCAAGCAGTCACAGTCCCCAGACAATCAGACTATCGGCTCCTTCTAAGACTGAAACTGGGATTATGTTGCTCTGTATCGTTAGAAGGCACTATTGGATTATCCTAATGTTGAGAGACACAGTAGAAAGTCTGATTGGCTTTCACTGCTTGGACATGGTGTACATTTGAATGCAATTTTGGAAGTGAGCCGTTGTATTCATTTGGGGTTTTATCAAGATTATATACACCTTCGGCAAAAAGTAGCCGCCGAGTATCCCCAGCACACTTAAGAGGATGGCCCCTACATTTAGGGCCATGGCGAAGCTCCCTCTGGAAATGCAGTAAGCTGTAAAAAACGTGATCCAAGAAATCATGTATATCATGAGACTGAATGTAATGCATTTAGCCTCATTGTAATTGGCAGGCAGATCTTTTCCCATGTAGCTCAAGCAGAAACAAATTAAGCTCAACACGCACACAAAAAGCAGCTCGGCGAAGGCCCCGAGAGACAGGGTATTACTGCACTCCAGAACAATGCTGTCATGGTAGAAGTCATAGTCCTGAGATGGAAAAGGAGGGTCGAGGAGCATGCGAAGAACCGAGATGAAGACCTCCACCACTGTCATGATGAGGATGAACATCTCAGGGCCTCGCTTCCTAGCCCACGTCTCATAGAATCTTGGCAGCTTGGAGGACCATTTAAATATACAAACCACCTTCCAGGAGAGAGATTCATGTTTTATTATGAGAACTGACAAGTAGGAATGTGATTTATCACGAATGCACAATGTACTGTAGCAATACCAGATCGTTTTTTGGGTGAAAACTGGATATTTAAAGGGATAGTTCACTTTGAAATTAATTTTTGATATGTTTTTGCTTGCCTCATGTGCATCCAAGATGTAGGTGTCTTTGATTCTGCAGTATTTTTAATTTTGATGTCTGTTTGTGTCAATCAGTCATATAATGGAGGTCTATGGTCACCACCTCAAAGAGCATGCACAGAGAAGTCCAAATTAAACATGATTTAATGACTCGTAAATGTATTGTTTTTGTGAGAAAACGAACAGTATTTATATCATTTTTACCTCATGTAAACACAGCCATGTCCAACTGATATGAGGGCACGGGCGCTTTGTGGCTGTGGTTACAAGAGGTAAAAACTTTATAAATACTGTTCGTTTTCTCACACAAACCGCTCGTTTCGTGTCTTAGGCCATCAATGTGTACTTACATTTAGGAGTCATTAAATCGTGTTTAATTTGAACTTCTCTGTGCATGCTCTTTGAGGTGGACCCCATAGACCTCCATTATATTACTCACAGACAAGAACAGTTTGACCTAAAAATATCAAAATTGAAAATACTGCGGAAACAAAGACACCTACATCTTGGATGCACTTAAGTCAAGCTAAAACATATGAAAAATTAATTTCAAAGTGAACTATCCCTTTAATTGTTCACTCACATTTCCCATACATTGCATTTAGATGACCATTTATTAATTTAATGGGGATCTATTATGCCCCTTTTTACAAGATTTAATAAGTCCCAGTTGCATTAGCAAACACTGTTTAATGTAATTTTTGGCAAATTTCAAAACAAATATTATTAATGTTTCAAACTTGACATTTTAATGTTGCGATGCGTTAATTCACTTGTAGCATTTAAAACCACTTGTTTATATATACTGTATATGAATTAAGGCATCACGACATTGTGTCATAGCCTATATATATATATATATATATATATATTAGGGCTGTGCAAAAATTAATTGCGATTAATCGCATCCAAAATAAAAGTCTGTGTTTACATTATATATTTGTGTGTGCTGTATATAATTATTTTGTATATATAAATACACACACATGCATGTATATATTTAAGAAAATGTGTTATTCATATATAAAATATTTATATTTATATAATATAGATTATGTATTTATAAATATATAGAGAATTTAAGCGCAAATAATTCTTAAATATATACATGCATGCATTGGTATTTATATATACAAAATAATTATATACAGCACACACAAATATATTATGTAAACACAGACTTTTATTTTGGATGCGATTAATCGCAATTAACTTTTGCACAGCCCTAATATATATTATATTAACACAAAATACACAGTTTATAATTTTAATAACTGCTATTTGTTGTATTTCACTTGGACAAATATTATTGTATAGGCCAGAATTGTATTATTGTGCATTTAATAGTAGATCAATGAGATCTAGCTCATATTTAAAAGTAGACCTTTTTGCTAAATGTTTGTGTGCTGGGTTTGTTATCTAATGCATATAAATTCAACAAGGAAACATAAGTAATACATTTTGAAGCCACCAGACAGAAATGAAATGTTAAACGGTATATGCAGCTAAAGCCATTAACTTCTTCACTACCTCAACAACATGGCCGAACATACCTGAAAAGATCGCACAGTCACACACGCCAGGCACACGTTGAAGCTGATGATGAAGAGCGGCTGTTTGAGGAGGCAGCCGGTGCGCGACGGTCTACTGAAGTGGCACAGTGTGCTGGAGGCGGCCACGGTCAGAGACGCCAACATCAGCAGACAGGTCTTCCCTCCGGCCGACTTCACCACAGGGGTACTGAGGTTCAACAGGAAGATGAGAGCTGTGCCCAGGGTGAGGAACAGGGTCACACCCAGGTATATGAGCAGGGCGGTGGTGAGCGGAGTGCCCCACGACAGGTACAGCTCTGCCCTCTTCTCACATGTCTCACTCTCTGCTTCAGACCAGTCATCTATGGCACACGCTTGACAGCTAGTGTAACCTATGAGGACACAAATGGTTAGCATAAGAAGCTTTCAAAATGTGTCATAACAAGGCTCCATACAGAATGTGAATGTCCTAGGGCTGCTACAGTATTTACACTATTAGAGGAAACCCAATTACAAATGGAATACTAATACGTATCTATGTAAAAGCTGGGATTTGAGAAAGTATTTTAGCTTTAAGGGGATTAAATCCAAACATTAGAGTCATAACTGAAAAAAATGTGCCATCTGCTGGACATACTGTGAATGACATCCTGTGTCTGGTCATTCTGATCTAATGTCCTCCATTAACTACTGTACTGTAAATACTTCTTATACTCGATAATTATATGATTTTCGGGGTGTTTTTGTACCAGTTTTGTTGAGGAAGGTGGCAGCAGGGCATGGCATGCAGTCAAAACAACACTTATGCTGTCCGGTCATGAGCTTTCTGTGTCCGTAGGGACACTCTGGAGAACAAATCGACTCGGGAACCTGGACAGAGCAAAAATAATATTATATTAAAAAAAGTCATTGAAGTCATTTCAACTTTAATTACATTACACTGACTTTTAAAAATAAGTTGAATCGTGTATAATTCATATAAAATTTTCTCTATCTCTATCTGGTACCTTATTTTAATTATATTTTCTTCATTAATATGATTATTTCATTTTTATCATAATTATTTATTTATTTATTTGACACTGCTTTTGTATAGCTGATGGAGATGGAAAACAGTTGGGAAGCATGTACACCACTGTTAAAAGTTTGGGTTATTTGATCAAAAATATAGTAAAACAATAATATAGTGAAATATTACAATTTAAAAAAGCTGTTTTCTATTTTAATATATTTTAAAATGTAATGTATCCCTGTGATGGTAAAGCTGATTTTTTCTTTTAAATGTCACATGATCCTTCAGAAATCAATCAAATATGATGATTTGATTCTCAAGAAACATTTCTGATTATTATCAATGTTGAAAACAGTTGCGCTGCTTAATATTTTTGTGATAGCATGATAAAAAAAAAAATTCTAGGATGAATAACAAATTTATTTGAAATAGTAGTCTTTTGTAACATGAATGTCTTTAATTTCACATTTGACCAATTTATGTATCCTTGCTGAATAAGTTTTAAATTCTTTCTTTCAAACAGAAAAAAAAAACATACTGACCCAATCTTTTGAACGGTCATATGTTATACAGGGCCAAGAAATGGGATAATGCATATAAGGAAATATACAGACTTACCTTGGTTACAGGAGACACCTGCCCAGTCCATTGAATCTGAGAGGCGTCTAACTGAAGATCATTCGGACCGGGACTGAAACTTCCCACCACTTTAAATGACCACTGGCCATCCATCCATAGCCATGTCACAATATCATAACCTGTAGGAGGGTCTCCATTCTTATCAAAATAGACTGATGTGTTTCGAATTGAAAACTGAACTCGTTTCAGTTGGTGAAATACCTGTGGGATTTAAAGAAAATCATATCATGTGTAATAATGTCAACTGTATATTATTATTTCAGTGATTTAAATCTAAAAGCATTCACCTCCCATGGCTGCACCTTATATTTCTGACATAGTCCAGAGTCACAATTCAAGATGTTGTGCACCGCATGAGCCACTGCATACACGGCCTTATACACGTTAAAGGAGGAAACAATGTCATACTGCGATAAAGGAAAGCGTTTTATCGCCATATCATAAAGGTCTGTATTTTGCATACACGGGACGTTGAGGTTGAACGAACTGTTTAGACCAAAGTCTTTAAGTCCAGGCACAGAAAGCCTTTCAAAATCTTCATACCCACTGAATTCAGTATATTTGACGGCGACACCGAGGACAGTCCCTATCGTACTGATCCCTGGTATGCTACTCACTGTCGACGCCACCGACCAGTCCTCTGTCCCAATCCACACTTTACCCGTCACGTTTTGGTCGATAACGAAAGGAAAGAAGCCAGCGGCCCGCCTCTTATTGGCAAAGACAACTATTGTGTTGACTTTGGTTTTGATGATGTTTTTGACCATGTCTTGCATGTATTGTTTCGTCTCGTCAGTTACAGCGGGTATCAGGGCTTGGTATGCAATACATAAATTGTGAAGTGAAGCTTGCTGGGAAAGGCCTTGCATTCCTTGAATACCGTATGAGTTGTCACTACCGAGAATGGCGATCCAGGTCCAGTTAAATCTGACCAGAATCTGTATCATTGCACTGACTTGGTTCTTGTCACTGGGAATGGTGCGGAAGAAAGCTGGATAGAGATTTTTGTTGCTCAGCATTTCGTTTGTGGCCTCGTAGGAGATCTACAAATGCCAAAGGGAAAAAAACAACAACATGAATATATAAAATTACACCTAATTTATATACGTTTCATTTATACGGCATTTATTATACAAAGGATACAAATATACAAATGTTATATATACTGTATATATATAAAGTGCTGTCAATCGATTTAATGACTTATGTTAACACCTAACATATTCTTTCTAAACATTTTTAAATTGTAATACTTTCACACTGAATCTCCAAAATAATATAGAAACAACATAATCTGTTCGGTATTTGTTTAATGGTATTTTTATACAAAGCACTATGAATGAAGGTCAGTATCACTGTCTGATACTGTACTGATACTAATGTCTCTATTAAATGGATTTCCCCCTCAATTTTAGCCATTATGGCAATTCAACATAACAGTATGATTAAAAGCTTTCAATTTTAACATTTAATTAAAACAATCTACATAATCCCATTGTAATGAATGTCACATGTGCCTTTAATATATCAGGGCTCAACACAAAGGTTTTCCCAGTCGGGCCAGTTCAGATTTTTACCTGCCCTGCTAAAATGCACAAAAAAGTTATTGTTTTCATTGTTTTTGACCCACATAACTTTGTAAACAGTGCTTTAAAGGAGTAGTTCACTTTTAAAAAAAACTTTTGCTGATAATATACTCTCCCCCATGTCCTCCAAGATGTCCACATCTTTCTTTCTTCAGTCGAAAAAAAATTACGTTTTTTGATGAAAACATTCCAGAATTTTCTCCATATAATGGACTTCATTGGGAACCAAACGGTTCAAGGTCCAAATGAGAGTTTCAGTGCAGCTTCAAAGGGCTTTAAACGACACCAGATGATGAATAAGGGTGTTGTCTCGAAAAAAGATTTGTTCATTTTGACGAACGAGTTTGAACAGGAGAGTCACGAACGATCATCACAGAACAGAGCAAGGGGAGCATTTGTGCTTATAAAACATAAACTTTTTTATTTATTTTTTAAATGGCCGATCGTTTCGTTAGATAAGGCCGTTTATCATCTGGTGTCGTTTAAAGTCCTTTGAAGCTGCACTGAAACTCTCATTTGGACCGTTTGGTTCCCATTGAAGTCCATTATATGGAGAAAATCCAGAAATGTTTTCATCAAAAACCTTAATTTCTTTTCGACTGAAGAAAGAAAGTCATGGACATCCTGGATGACATGGGGGTGAGTAAATTATCAGCAAATGCTTTTTTTAAAAGTGAACTACTCCTTTAAGATTTACAGGTAGGTCTGACAGGTCCTAAATAAACAGAAATTGAATATTCACTGCACAGACTTCACAGCATAAATCATAAATCGAATATAGATTAATCCTTATTAAAGCCTCAACAGTTATTGAGTCAAGAACAGGGAGTGATTTTCTCTTTGTCTTTTGTTCTTTGATTAACATTAAAAATGACAGACAGTAGCAGGTTTAATAGGCAGCTGTCACTTTAAGACCTGACGCAGATCCCCTATTTTAACTCTTTTCGTTCATTTTGAGAACTTAATGTGGCACTGGTGGCGCGCTGTCTGAAGCGGCTTGAACCTTGATCTAGTGACCCTGTACCTGAGGCACCAGGAATGCACCAAGAGCTCCGGCTGGTGTGAAAGAGTAGGAACTACTGTCCGGACCGATGATGGCCACAGAGCGGCTGTTGACATCTGAACTGTGGCGCTGCTGGCTCAGCAGATCCAGGGTGGCCAGATTGCTGGCTGGGAGGGAGCACAAGTCATATGTCCGGTAGCCCAGCGTGACCCCTGGAAGGAGTTGCTTATCCTGAGTGCCGTTGTTAATTTCGTCCACTGCATATCTGAAGGCCTGCACCAGATGATAGCCATGCTTGTTGATCAAGCCTCTAGGAATAAAAAGAGTTGTTTACATTCTGGACAGTGTGCTAAAATGTCTTTTTTAAATGGCAAAATATATTATCGGCACAGCAATTTTGTGAAAAAGTAGATTTTTTTATTTTTCATGGATCAAAAGAGAATAAAATAGCCTACATGCCTGTACAAAACACTGACTTTACCATTGGTATTATACATCTGGAATATGTAAAGTACAATAAAATGACATTCTTACTGTGTGCAGTCAGTCAGGTAAGGTGTCGATGGGATGGTGGAATCTGAATTATGGATAGGGAACCAGCCAGAGATGATATAATCTCCTTGAAGGTGAAGACCTCCACCGTCACTAAAACTCAAGAGATAGAGATACACAAACCAGACCAACATCTTACCCATTCCTCTGATATATGAGCTCTTCAGACACATTTGTGCTTATAAACACTCTTTTCACACCAGCCCACTGTTTCTCCACAGTCTGTTGGTGGCAAGGATTTGCATGCTATATGTAATTACCACGGAGAATGCATTTGCCTGGGTAAATATGTTACCAAAGTGTGTAAATGTTTATATTGCAATTGCAAGTAAAAGCACACACAGGCAAATGCTGGAGGTAACTTATTTGTTTGTGTCTTTATTAGATATGGATATAGCTTCAAATGAAGCAGCAATAGCAGAACAGTGAAGGTCTAGTCCCTGAGTGATTTTTTTTTTTTTTTTTTGAGCGAAAAAGAATCAGATTAGGGCACTAACTAGGATGTTATTACATATCCAACAATGTTATTATAGTTTGACAGAAGAAAAATACACTTTTGCTGTAATATGAATACAGTTGATAAACATCATGGATAAAAACAGTCATCTTTAAACATTATAGTCTTCTGCTGTTAAACAGATAGTTCACCCAAAAATGATGACAGAATTTTTTATTTTTGGGTGAACTATCCCTTTAAGAGAATGTAATACTATAATGATGGCAAAACAAAGTAGTATTTCTGAAGAAGAGTGATTGTGTTTCACCGCCTTAACCAGTTGGAATGGATTTGCCTGTCTCAATATCTTTTTCCCTGAACTTTGACTTATCTCTAGAAGGGAAATGAAAACTGTGGTCTATTTTATATGTTAAAACACAACCTCGACACCAAAGCGACAGGCAAATTCAAGTAAAATAAGTGAGAATTGCTCAATCATGCAAAAGTAAAATTTCCATGTGAAATCTGTTGGGAAGTTCAAAGAACACCCATTGTCACAAATAATGATATAATAAACATTGCATGCTGCAAAGATGAATCGAAAGGTTTTGGATGAAAAATAGTCCCATTAAAGACTGAAAGGGCAAACTTTTATTTATTTAAAACCAGCATAAAATCAGAATACAACTAGATAAGACTTGAATCTTCCAGATTTCCAAAAACAAACTAATTTCCAGACATGCTGTTTTCAGCTCAATATCAGCTTATTTATATAGTATATAGCACAAACTAATACAATTTATTAGAATGGCCAATATTTAAGGCAAATATTAAATCATAAATTGTATGAACATACAACATCTGAATGACCAGATCAGGATAGTATAAAATACGGAATGATTTGTTTCCAATGAAAAAAAAAAAAAAGAATTTGAAAAAGGCAATAATAGCAAAACTTAACCTCGATCACCCAGATACTATTTAAAAGCAATTAATCATTAATTCTTATGTAATAATAAAATAGTAAAAAAAAAAAAAAAAAAAAACATAATAAAAGCAATACAAGTAATATGCTACTATGAACATAGTTTTAGCTTATAAACCTAATTATTGATTGTACAATAAAAGAAATAAATAACGAATAATCATTTCTATTTTATTAACCACCTCTTGAATAAGCCAAAAAACATATTTTGTGGGAGGGGAGGAAATAGTGTGCGAGTCATTCTTAGGAAGTCATGTCATTTGTGTGCATCCCCATGACTTAGTCCCATTAAACAATTCATTAAGACTGTTTGTAATGCAAATATATAAAATATTTGCTTGTTTGACATTTACAGGTCCCCATTTATCACTACTTTACTGCAAAAAATATCTTTATTTTAATGAAATGTAATTATCATTTTCTGAGAAATGTAGAATTTGTCTCTGCATCTTAATTGTGACATTTCCCTCTCTGACAAAATTGTTATGTTTTGAAAAGTTATAATGCATTTCAAGTCACAATGACACAGAGTTAAACATACAGAATCTACTCTCTATTAGAAGTACATCAGTTTGCTGTAATGTGGTTGAAATAATGTCGTGTCTTAGGGTTAGCATGAGTACTTTGATTTTTGGTATTTTAAATCTAATCTTTAAATATTTTTAAGTGCACAAATAGCACATTTTCATGAGAATGACCCACACACAGAACTAAACGTAATTGCAAAGTTTTCAGTATCTATTTTGCAGCTTGACCAAAACATTCAACACCTGAGGAGAGATATAGTATGGCTTCTAAATCTTGAGATCATCCAAAAATCTCATGTCACACCATTTAACATCTTAGACATGAATTATATGTCATCATCTGTACTAAAGATATGATTCAGGTCAGGATTTAACGGTCTACAACAGAGCAAAGCATTACTTAATATATTCAGAGAAGAATATAAGGCAACTAAGACAGTGTATACAGCATATTTGTAGGCACATGAGTTTGGGTTTTACAGCTACTCTCCAAAACTGAAAGAGACAATACAAAGAAACGAAAGGCAAAACTGCACTTAAGGAGAATCATTAACTCATACTGAATCTGGTTCCAGCTAAAAGAATCACAGAATGTAACACCAGTCAAGATTATTGCATAGATCTTAGTGCACGGTGGTTTAGTTAAATGTATGGTGAAAACATCTGAACTGGTGAGATATTTCATGATAATTGCTCAGATATTTTTGTGAAGTATACTGCATGGCTGATCTACTGACTATTGTGACGTTAAAAGCCTGAATGTATTCATGTAGAAGAATACTTTCCTCTATAATGTGTTTTAATCTGTGATATTTAAACTGATGGGTGTGTAACTTTCCTTTTACATTCATGTAAACAAAGGAGCAAGATAGCAGAAATTATGCATTTAAGAAATAATATTTATATTGAATAATATATATTATCATAATATTTATATTATAGGTAACACTTTACAATTTTGGAGATGGTCCTCACTGCAGAACACGAATCCAGATCCAACTCCTCCCACTGTACATATACTTAAACCTACCCATCTCCGCCCCCTGATCCCTAACCCCTCCCATCCCCACACCCTGATCCCTAACCCCACCACAAATCCTACCTATCTCCACCTCTTGGATCTGGATCCAACTCCGCCCCCTGGATCTCGTGTACTGCAATGAGGTGCTACTGCATTTGGGCCCTATTCTAATGATCTAAGCACATGGTCTAAAGACTGCAGGCCATGTCCGAATCCACTAGTTTAATAATAGGCAAAAAGGTCCGCACACCGAGCCCATGGTCTAAGGGTTGTCCTTATTCTCTTAATGAGTAATGGGTGTGTTTTAGGAGTAACGTGGAATAAACCTATCAGAGGGTGCGGATGGCGGATTCGCAATTTACATGGCAGAATTTGCAAGCGGAAAAACGAAACACTTCTCCAGAGAGGAAACATCTATGTGACAACGTGTACACGCATTGTGGACCCACCTATAGGCGCACATTACGAATGCTTTCTTTAAATAACAAAAATAATATTGCGCCTTCTATTTCCGTTGCCTCATAATAGCAACGCGCCAACAATACGCCTGAACACACCTCGTTTTCAGACCAGCAGTCCATGGGCGCACAAATATGGAGGACAAAAACAACGTGGAGGACGTGAAAATGATGAATGTGTCGCGCTGAAACTAGCAAAAAACCCTTGAGTTGCTCAAGGCGCCGCATTGTGCCGGGTGTATGATAGGCCCAAAGTCTCATTTGTTAACATCAGTTAACAATGAGCAATATAAATTTTTAAAGCACTTATTAATAACTTTGTTGATGTTACTTAAAAAAAATGTCTTAAATATCCGCCTAGTTTGAACTTGCAGGGCTAGGAACAGCTCTCTTTAAAGACCTGATGAAATATTTCAACAAAGATCAATATTTCGTGTCTAATTATTTGTCGCAAGTAGCCGTTTAATAAGCAAGATAATGTACAGTACATCCAGGCGGTTGTTATCTTAGAATAAACCCCTGACAGGGTGACTCTTAGATGACCAGATACTATATACTATATATACTATATATACTATATATATACTATATAAAATCCAAAAAAAGTGGAGTATCCCTTTAACATTAACTAAGATTAATAGATGCTGTAGAATTATTGTTCATTGTTAGTTCGCATTAATGTGAAAACTTATTGTAAAGTGTTACCATATTATATGATAATGTATTATTACATACAGTATGTTATTCATCACACTATAAAGAGTGTGACATCAGTTAAAGCTAATGAGGAAGACTATGGAGCCATGCCTTGGCAGTGCTGATGAAGAGGCCACAGCTTGTCCTGCTTTAAGACAGCATATAAAGCACCAATACTTACTCTATGGGAATCTGAAATTCCACACCCATCCATACTGTGTAAGAAAAGGTGACCAGAGACTTAAAAGAGTGACTGGTTCACCAAAAAAGCTGAGAAACCAGAAAGACACAGGGCTGATCATCATCTAACTTCTCCATTCATCTCTACCGCCCCTTCTTTCTCTCCATCAGGCTCCAGCTCATCCTGGATGTCATCGGTGTTCCCTGAATCGCTGCTGGCCACAGAGCTGAATGAGGGCGACTGTCTGCATTGGAAAACAGGACTTCTGTCAATCATTAAAAGCCTTTGAGGAGATGCTTTGCATTCTCAGTCACCATTAAATCAAAATGGACAATTCAAAATCTTTAATCATAATAACTTCCCCTCCCTCTTGCAGTGCCTTCTCTTCTCTGGCATGAGGGCGGGACAACCTATCACTCACATGACATCACAGCAATAGCAAACCATTCAAACAATTCTCAATGGACAAAATTAAGTCCCACCCACATTTTTTTTCACGTCGATATAGGTCACAGAAGGGAAGAAAAGTCTACCACAACTTCCATTTCATGCTGACTTTAAAGTTTTACTAAAACTAAAATACGATTAAACCAACCTGCCGCTGGTGGCTGTGCTTTGGATGAGCCTCCGGCAGGTCTCCATCTGTACGTCCAGCCCTCTCTTCATACTGCACATCTCCATGTACTCGTGCAGGTGTCTGTTCATGTCACTCTTAGCCGTAGCCAGTTCCAGCTGCAGGAGGAAGACAGCGGTTTTTGTACTCGGCTCAAGTAAATATCAGCTGAAATGTGTCATTCACAAACGTTCTCTCACCTCAATCTCTCCGATGGTGTCCTGGTACTCCTGCTCTCTGGTCTTAAAGAGGGATTCTGTTTCATTTATGAGGCTACCTAGACTTCGATCCTGGCGGGATAATGCATTATTAATATTCTCAAGAGTAAACATACATTTTGTACTGTACAGCCAGTAATGGTCAATATTAGTAAGACAGCGTATTTAGCCACAAGAAACATCCCAAAAATATATAAACAGTATTTTTTGGCAATTCACTAAAGTTTGGGTTCCACAATATTTTTTTTAAACATTTTTTTTTCAAAGAAGGATCTTTTGTTTACTAAGGCTGCTTTTATTTGATCAAAAATTATATATATATATATATATATATATATATATATATAAATAATAATAACACTTAATTTTCAGCATCATTACTCCAACATTTTGTGTCACATGATCCTTCAGAAATAATTTTGATATGCTGATTTACTGCTCAAAAAACATTTATTATTATTTTCTTATTATTATCAATGTTGAAAACAGTTGCTGTTTAATATATTTGTGGAAACCGTGCTACATTTTTTTCTCTTCTCTTCAATTTCTTCATGAATAGAACATTTAAAACAACAAATAAATCACACAGAAAATAGTTTTCTATTGCTAAAAGCCAAATAAAGGTAGTATTTTAGTGAGTGAGCATTAACAGAGTTCTTTCCTATGTTCTGTAGTTGCCTATATAGACATTACATTTGAATGATTTGGCACTTTTATCCAAACATGTTTGCGGACCCACCTGCTCCTGATGTTCTCCGTGAGAGTCGGATGCGCAGGACACTGTGGTGACCGTACCAGCAGCGGCAGAGGTGGTGAGACTGTTGTAGTTACTGAAATCCTCCCAGAGCAAGAGAGTCTCCCCCGTCTCCTCCCACGCCAGACTATCAGAGTCATCGTCAAACTCGAACGTTTCCCGCCTGCCAACAAACCAATTAGCTGAGCAACCTCTGTGCACAAGATAGGCAGCAGACACAGACGTGGAAAAGGAAAGAGAAGGAAACGAGGAGACACAAGGAGAAGAAAAGAAAAGGAAAATCAACAGATCCACAATCTAAAGGATTACAAACAAAAGATAACAAACAAAAGACTATAAAACATAACATAGAACAAATGAACATAAGAAAAACGAGTTAATATCCAGATCTTGAATAAAGCAATTAATCATAAATATAGTAATTTAATCAAATTACAATAATATAAATGATCTCTCTCAAAGAGGAAAATACACAGCACATAAAATGAACATGTTCACCATTTGTACACTAGATGGCACTAAAGACAATCAGTTGAAGAGTCCTTACTCTGCACTTTTGCAGCATTTTGTTTCCAATGTTATAAACCCTGAACACATGAACTAAACAAAAAATAATAATAATAATAATAAAAATGTCAGAAGGTGCCCTCAAATGCAGTAGTTCTCAATTGGTTTGACGATGGGACCCACAATTTTTCATGGTCATTAGGCTGTGACCCAATATATATATTATATATATGTGTGTGTAATTTGACAGAGGGTGCGTCTCAATCAGATCCCTAATTCAGTAGTCAGCGCACTGATCGGGGAGTCGACCATTTTAAGGGCTGTCTCTCAACCACAGAATACTTCCAAAGCACTAAAAAGTTCACAACCTAAAAAGTCCCACAATGCACAGTGAAAACCAGGGAGCATCAATGCTCACGATGGAAGTTCTGAATCTTGAATTTTAACTCACTACACATAATAATAATCACTAAACATGCGATAGATGTTAAAATACAAACCATTATTTAATTATATTTCAGATGCATAAACATACATTGCTAGACAGGTAATGAATAATCTAGCTAACATTTATAGTTTTCTCACAGCTGTAATGTTGCACATGTATGTAAAAGCAAAGTATTTATCATTAGGTCCTTAAAAATAATTTTAAGTAATGTCAGAAAGATATCAGCTCTGCTGTTGGAAATACCAGAAATAAGTCGCCAGAAATAGAGTCATCAGTGTAGCATTTACTGTCCTTATCAGTGCCTGAATTCTTGAACCCAATTTACTGATTCACAAGCTTGGGAGTTGATTGAGATGCACCCCTAGTTTCCTTGTGTGTGTGTGTGTGTGTGTGTGTGTGTGTGCACCAGTTAGTTCACCTGTTGTTCAGTTCCCTTTGTTAGCTCTGTGTAAATATAGCCCTCATTTTCTGTTCATCCTTTGTCTGTTCTCTAGTCAAAGTTAAATTGCTTGTGTATGTCTTGCTCTCCTGTGTTTATCCTGTGCTCCTGCGTGTTTAAAGCGTTTCTATTATTTCGTTTGAACTGTTAAATAAAGAGATCCTGCCACCTTACTTCCATAGATTTTTTTCCATACTATAAAAGTCCATTGGGACTATCAACTGTTTGATTGCCCATATTCTTAAAAATATCTTTTGTGTTCAGCAGAATAAAGAAATTCATACAGGTTAGGAACAACTTGATGGTGAGTAAATAATACTGACGTTTGGGAGAACTATCCCTTTAAACTGAGTCTGACACAAGAGTCAACAGCTTTCGTTCACGTCTTTCAAAATAAAAGTCTCTTTTGACGGCACACCCACTCAAAACAGTATTGTGACCCAGCAGTTGAGAAACACTCCTCTAATGACTATGAAGACTCACAGCTGGTTGAGCATCCTCTTCATCTCATCAGTGATATTGAGAGAACCAGGCATTTCCTCCTCACAGTGAGCAGGATCAACATCAGTCTCCACTCTCTGCTCCTCTGATTCACCCTTACTCTCCTTCCTCCTACATACCGCCATCCCCTA